CATTTTAAGATCTGTCCTGAAATACAAGTATCAATAACATCCACATAGCCACAAAGAAAACCAGTTGATATGACTGTAATTTAAATTTACACACCATCTACTAGTGCCAAAGATGAAGAAACTGAAGATTTTTACCAACTTCTGCAGTCTCAAATCAATTGAACATGCAATCAAGAGGCAATTATTGGTAACAAGAATGAAGAAGTTGAAAATAAAGAAAAAGGATTTAGCTGGAAAATAGAGCCTTGCTGATGGAAACAATACCAAAGATAGCACAATAGGATTTTGCAAGAACACCAACTTAGTCGTTGCAAATACACTTTGTCAACAACAGGAACATTGACCATACATGTGGATCATGCTGGACTAAATACACAGAAGTCCAGTGGACTGCTCTCATGGAAGGAAGCAGAGAAGCTTAATATCATCACTCAGAACAAAGTCAGGGCCCAGCGGTGGAAGAGACTGTGAATTACTGCTTTACAAGTTGAAGCTGAACAAAAACAATAACAAGTCCACGAGAGCCAAAGTACTTTCTTTTTTGTTTGTTTGGGTTTTTTTTCAAAGTACTTTCTTGAGTATATACCACCTCAATGTAGAAACCTTGGGTAAACAGATTCGAAGTCTCCTCTGTCAACGTGGTTTTAAACATGTACATACAAGGAGGGTGATACATGGCTTATGGGTGCTAGGCAGGCTCTCTACCTCATTGCATGGGAGACTGGAATAGAAGATTATGTGACCTGAGAACAGAAGCCTGCCTTTGTCTTGATGCTTATCCTTATAGAAGTGGGCTCATGACACATTTGTTCTTTTATGATTGACTAATTATTTTAGTCAGCACAATGGTTGCCAGGCCATTTCATGTCATGAGGTGTGCAATGGTTTCATCGGAGTTTACAGGGATGCAGAGGATTTCATTGTGTGAACGTACCGGGATTTCACTACCCATTCTTCTGTTGATGGCATCTGGGCTGCTTCCTGCTTCTTGCTATTGTGAACTGTACTGCAGTGAACATGGAAGAGCCTATGTCTGCTTGCGTTCCATCTCTTAGTTCTCTGGGGTTTATCCACAAATATATATGCACCTTTGGTCGTATGGGTCATGTGGGATTTCTATTCTCAGTTGTTTGGGTCCCTGCTTATCACTTTATACAATGCTTGTACATATTTACAAGCCTACCAGCAGTGTAAAAGTATTTCAATCTCTCTACACCTTTCCCGCTTTTGTTGTGCTCTGGTTTTTAAAACGGGGATACTGTTGTGGGCATGAAGTTGCTCTGATTTGTATCTCCTGGGTGGCTAGTGACTGGGAGCATCTCCTTGCGTCTTGAAGCTTCACGTGTTTCCGATGAAAGACTCGGCAATAGATCTGCCTCCAAAAGGTCACAGCCTTGAAAACTATGGAGCACAGTTCTACTCTGCTACACACGAGGTTTCTGTAAATCCATTTAGCTTTGACAGCAATTGGTTTGGTTGTTAAAAAAAAGTTATGTTTTCATTATTTATGAGTTTTCATTTTATATTTCTCCTTATAACATTCTCCTGTGTGTTCCTCTCTAGTATAATTTCTTTGTTTCCCCCCCCCACCTAGCCTTGATGGTGCTGTGGATTAGGCAGTGGACTTCTAACTCTAACACCAGTGGTTCAAACCCACCAGCCACTGTACAGGTGAAGGGTGAGGCTGTTTGCTCCCACAAAGATTTCATTTCAGAAACCCTGGGCAGTGTTGTCACAAGTTGGCAATGCCCCAATGGTAATGGTTTTTAAAAAAAAATTTTTTTTTTTTAATAGATGCAGGAACTTTTATTGTGGAATGTGTAATTTGGGTTGGGAGGTGGCAAGTAGATCTACAGAGCACTCCAGCCTTAGGAAAGTCTTTATAAGGGTCTATATGCAAAGATTCCAGAAACTTTTAAGCCAATATTTCTGACTGGTTACTATTTTTTTTTTTTAACATTTTATTAGGGGCTCATACAACTGTTATCCCAATCCATACACACATCAATTGTGTAAAGCGCATTT